CCGTTCACTATTAAACATATTTGAAATTAATATTATGAAGTTCGGTGTGTGGAGAACTGCTCTTTCCATCGATGAAATGATGGCTAAGTCTTATGCGAGAACGGTTCTAAAACAATTCATTCGAGAAAAACCCGTACGATTTGGTCTCAAATTCTGAGGTCTTTGTACTTCCGATGGTTTTGTATTAGGTCTTGGCTTATACTGCGGAAAAAATTCTACAACGGGAAGTAAATTTAGTAAGTGTGCATCAGGTTCTCGCGTTTTCATGAATTTACTAGAAAAGTTTTTTCGTGTTATACCTCCGGGCAAAATATCTATGTTCCATCTTTATTTTGATAATTATTTCACAAGCTTAGATCACGCTGTGCATTTGAAGAAGCTTGGGCTAAAATGTACAGGTACTATTAGAGAAGATAGAGTCAAAGATAAATATGTTCTCAATAAAAAAGTTTGAAGAGGTGAGTATGCCGTGAAGCACGATAAGAACAGTGGTATAAATTACATCATTGTGATGGATTCAAAACCAGTTTCGATTATTTCTACTGCTGCAGGGGCCATTATCCTTTGTAAAGAGATACATAAAGCAAGAAGGAAAAAAAGTTGAAATACCTTTTCCGAGGGCTATTATCGTCTATAACAGTTTTATGGGTGGCAATGATGTCCACGACGAATATTGTAACAATTTACTTCCGAGTATTCGTTCAAAAAAGTGGACGTGGGTAGTTTTTTTAAGACTAATTCAAGCTTCGATTGTAAATGATACTGTACTATTCAATGCTGTCAATGATAAGAAAAAAAGGGTTGGAAAAAAAGATTTTGCACTTTCAATAGCTAAAAATTACATGACGCAGATACAATGCAAAAAAGAGAAACACAATATGTCTAAACAAACAAAACTCAAAGTTTATTCTTATTATCCCGTAAGAACGAGAATTATCTGTGAAAAATGTGATTTATCGATTTGTGTTGAATGTTAAAAAAAAAACACTGAAAAATTCGTATTGCAGGCAAGGGGACTCACTCAAATCAAGCACCTCGAAAAGTGAGAGGCAAGAGGACTCACTCAAATCAAGCACCCCAAAGGAGACAAAATTCTACTACGTCCTCGTCGTTATCTCTGGGTCATGCTAAGAGTAGAACGTTTTTTATCACGAAAACTATTGAGTTTAGAGGAAAAGTTTATAGAACAAAAAGTCTTAGAATTTATCAAGGAATATGCCTGAATTTTTTCAGAATTTTTGGAGATGATTTTGAAAAAATGGATTTTCCGTGTTCTCCGAAAATTCAAAAATCGCCTCCAAAAATTCTGAAAAAATTCAGGCGTATTTCTCGTTTAATTCTAAGACTTTCTTGTCCAATGAATTTTTCATCTAAACTTAATGATTTCCGAGATAAAAAATGAGAAATGTTTTTATAGATTTTTTTTTATTTTGCCACCATTTTGTTGGAAGAAGTGGTTTAAAAATTCCTGGAGATACTTTGATAGTCGTGATCACCTCTAATCAAATTTTTTTAATGATTTTTTAGCGGTAACATTGCTAAAAAAAATCGCAAACTTGATTTTTCGCAAAATTTTTCAGGTTTTTATTGTTTAATTGGCTATAACTTTTTTATAACGCAATCAATCGCAATTTTGAAAAAAGTTTCTGAAGGAGCATTAAATTTCCCATCTAAATACGTTTTTGCAAAAATTTCTTAGGCGTATGACTAACGAAAAAAACGCGTTGAAAATCGACAAAAAAATTGAGCATTTTGGTCGTTAATGGTTAATCTTCCGAGTCCCATATTTATTTTCCCTTCTACCTTCTTTATCTGCTTTTTATTTCCATTATTTCTATTTATCACATATCCCAAGTAATTATACTCTTTAACCATCTATATCTTCTCACCTTCCCATTCGAATTCTTCTTCCTTTCCCCTTTCTCCTCCTATCCTGCAGTTCATCATCTTTGATTTTCCTACATTTAGCTCTGATCTCCTTTCTTCCAGGTACCTTTTTAATTTTTTCAGCATTGCTTTCATTCCACTTTCACTCATTGCCATCATCACTATATCATCTGCATATCCTAATGTCCATATTTTCTTCCTTCCTATCACTACCCCTCCTTCTTGCCCATGTTTGATCTTGACTTCCAGGTCGGCGAAGGCAAGATTAAATAGCGTGGTGCTCAAAGTACACCCTTGCCTTATACCTTTGTAAGTCTCAAATTCCCCAATTATTTCTACTTCAAATCTTACCTTACTCTCTGTTTTTTTATATATTTCTTCTATTCTTTTCATAATTTTTCTATTTATCCCTTTCTCTTTCATTGTTTTCCATATTTCCTTCCTCTTTATCTTCTCAAACGCGGCCTTCATGTCGGCAAAGAATACAAACAGTTTTCTACCTTTTTTCGTTATTTCCTTCCCTATTTTTCTTTTTAATACATATATTGCGTCCATTGTTCCTCTTTTCTTCCTGAATCCCATCTGCGTATCGCTTAGCGTTTCTTTAGCTTCTAGTTCTCTTTCCAGCTTTTTTCTCAGTATTTCCGCATATATTTTATATCCCGTATCCATCAGCATTATTCTTCTATGGTTTTCTACTTCTTCTTTCCTCCCTTTCTTATATATTGGTACTATTATTCTCTTCCTCCATTCTTCCGGATATCCCTCTCCGTTCCATATTCCGTTTAAGCATTTTGTCATATCTTTTAACAAGCTTTCCGTGCTTTCCATCCACGCTTCATTCGCTATACCATCTTCTGCTGTCGCCTTTTTGTTTTTCATTTTTCTTATTATCTCTTTTACTTCTCTTACTACTCAAGAGGTGTGCATCAGTTTCCAAAGAAAGGTTAAGGAAAGCAGCGCAAAGAGAGAAAGAAACACAAGTGCAGCAGTGACCAGACCAGGGCGAGACAAGGCTACGTGTGGCAACACCTGCAGCACGGCATTCAGTGCCGCCCTCGTCACCGTGCACGGCACGACTTCCAGTGGGTTCACCGCGGGCTACGCCGAAGAAGACGTCCAGCCAGCGGCCAGGTCAACTCCCCGTTGCCGGCTCATCGCCAAGGACAAAGGTCAGGTTATCTCTCTCTCCCAGTATTTCACTCTCTCATGGTGATGCGCGGCCGCGTAGAAACGATAGGTAGCCAGGCGATCACTTGCCGGCTACGCTCATCGTAATGCGGTAGAGAGGTTTCGACGTATTCTTTCGAATGGTCAAGGCGATTTAGCCGCTAGGCAATTCATCCTCCCGCGTTAGTTTAAGTCTTTCTTTTCATGTGCGCGTGATGTAAACTTTTATTATATCCGATTTCGTATTTGTTTGTCTGAATAGATTTAAGTTGTGTGTTTTAATTAAGGAAAATTGTTTATTCGTTCGACCTATCCTCTCGTTCCCCAATTGTTGAAGAGCGAAAGTGCCTCTCTTACTCTCCCCTTAATAAATTGGTGACGTCAGTGCCGAATAAGGCGCTGCCCTCGTTACAAGCTTCGTCGTGTTATAAAAGAATTTAATTGCAAGGGTAGTCGATTCGATTAATTGATCTGTTCGCGATTCGGTACACTCGCGACGCTAGAGCAAACGACTGAGAGAGAGGGCACGCGAGAGTTTAAAAGTTCAGTGAAGCCTGAGCTGTTTTTGCGAGAGTACCGCCATTTTGCTCATTGTTTCGCTGTTTTGCTACAAAGTTTTCCTGGATTTTTGGACGTGCGCGAGTGATAGCAAACAGCATCACAGTAGCAGCATCACAGCAAAAGACTTCATCAAGTGGATCATGGATGTACAGGCCAAATCCTGTGTATGTGTTACTAAGCCAATAATTCGCTCATTTTTAAAACACGCATAAAGAAAAAGGCTTTAAAAAATCTGCTCTTCCCCATTATTTTAACTACAAATGAAATGTGCAGTGGATTCCGTTTGCGTCTCTTACTGTCGTCTATGTTCTCTCTTTTTAATGTCTAGTATTGGTAAGATATCATATGTGTATTCCATCTCCTGCGATGACGTCATTCTCGATGTAATCTCCAAGATTTTGTAGTAACTTATTAAAATCTCAATCGAGAAAATAGAACTTGTAACTTATGAACTCTTTGTAATTTTCTACAGCACATTGACTACCAATTCCCTGTAGTTTTCATTTTATTGATTATTCAAAAAATTTCCAACTATACTTCTAAAACACAGCCAGCAGTTCGCTGTTTTCAGATATTGTGGTAACGAAAGATAAATCTTTTAATAATTGTCGCTCTTCGGATACCACAAATATGAAGAGGACTCGGTGATTCACCGAACATAAATAGCGACTGTCGCACAACTGTCAAACTATATCAGTATCACTGTTTGTAGTAACAACGCTAAACATCACGTAGATGGAAATCGATTGTTTCGCAAACGTTTTATTTGTTTTGTTTACGTCGCGATCGCTATTAGCTTGTGTTTAACTTTGCTTTTTTTTTCTCATTCTCACTTGTCGTCGTAATTAACAAGTGTGATCGCTTGTTGATATTTATGTTATTTGTTACAAAAAGGAGAATTATCATCTGCTCCTTTTTCACTAGCAAAAAAAATTATGGAATCAAAATAAAAATCAATTTTTCAGTGATTTTTCAAATAGCCATATCTTCGTTAAAAATGATCATATGAAAAATTGAAAAGAAGTAAATTGAAGCTTGAAGTCCCTAGATTTTGAATCATAGAGTCAAAAATTTTTCCAGTTCATATCCTTTGCGGCTATTTAACTGTGTGAACAGGAGATTGAATATGCAATTCTACAATTGTCAGAACTATTCTGGAAATATCGATGTCAAAGTTATTTACATTCAAATAACAATTTCTAATAATTATGAATACGACTTGACTGTACTTTAACAAAAATTTTTATTTTTAATTCGATAAATGTAATAAAAAAAATGTCATAGAATAGATTAAAAATTCTATATTTTCATAACATTTTAACTCATACTTATATACTAATCCATTCCAAACATTTGAATAACTAATTACATCTATATCATAGGTTTTATACGGAAAATTGACACCATTACTTTTCAATGGCACATGGGTAAGTGATCGTCACATTTGTTACAAAGACACATCTGGTGGTATCTCCATTCTAGATGTATCTGATCCTTCTCTTGTACCGGAAAGTTTACTACCTAATGAAACTTTTGTAAGTATGTAAAACAAAATTACTTAATAATACATGTAAGATAATATCTGTTTTATAAATTGTAAACATGTAGTATCTATTGAATATTGTAGAAATCCATATATGACATTTTTTATCCTGTCAATAGTCCTAGTCATGAAACACGGGCACGTTAGTTTCTACTCCATATTACAAATAATAATTCTTTGCTTGTACGAGTAAAACTCCTTGAATTTCGTTATACCATGTTCTCTGTCATAGATGTCGCACTGGGAGTAATATAGAAGCGAAAAGAGAAGAGGAAAATACGTGAGGCTTTTTTGAGAAAAAATGAATATTGATGAGCAAGAAGTCAACAAGCATATATACTAACTTTTGCACTGCGTGCTTTCACATTTTTCACGATTTTCTTATTACTGTTTATATGTACTTCCTTAATCTTTCTCTCGCTTCTCTCGACAATCTTTGTTCGTATTCTCTCTCACTCTCTCTCTTTCTCTTGCGAAATCAAGTTGCGAACCAGCGGTATGGCTTAGTTTCAATGTTGCTTTCGCATGTTGCTTTCTTTTTGTCATTGATTGTTATTATGAAAGCTTTATTTTTAAACGTCTTTCGAATTTGACATCCACTATATTCAATTTACATTATAGATTCTACGATGTCTTCTTACAAGTTTTTATCATCTAATTTCGTGAAACTTTTTGTCAGATGTTTGAAATATTAATATTTTTATATAAAAACCATTAATGTTTGAAACATTAATATTTTTATATTTAAATCATTAATATGTTTTGTAGCGATTTACTTAGATATTACTATTCCACAGACATATAAAAAAGAAGGATACTTGGTGAATCCTGACTGCTGTCCCATGATCTCCATGAATATACATCAATTATAAAAATCAACAAAACACATAACACTTATTAAGTTATTATAAGGTTATTATTAAGTCTTATTAAGTTAGAAACAGCAGTAAGACATTGCTTAACTAAGGATACAATACAAACAAAAATAGTAATAACCGAAAATATCAACACTATAATAATAAAGTATAAAAATGAAGAAAGAATTGATACAATACGAGTAGAAGAAATATTGTGCAAAAAGTTAATAACACATGTAAAGATAGAAAGAAAACATAAAAATTTAATAATGGAAATAATCAATATTGAAAAAATATTTACAAATGAAAAAAACTGGAATAAGATATTAAAGAAACAAAATTTCAGTGGCATAAAAGACAACTGTGAAATAGCACATATTACTCATACAATAATTTAAAAGCAATAAATGCAATAATAGAAGTGATATCACAAATACACAAACACATCAGAGAAAAAAAGAATAAAATTTTTACTAAATACAAGAACTGTCGAGGGTTCGATATAATTAATACAAACCTTTATGTAAAATGTGTAAAATTTAATCATAGTATCATCAAATGCAGAAGCCTAGAAACTTGTTATAAATATACTGAAGAACACACAGCAGATAAGAGTACAAGTGAAGTATTAAAATATCCAACCTGTGAATTCAATAATAATTTTATGTATTAACATAAGAATTCTAAATGCTAATTACGATAAGATGTTCGTCTTTATAAAGAGTCTTATAATAATACTAGAGCATCATAATTTCTACTGAAATTTTGGTTTTAGTATAACCAGAATACTTTAATACGTATTCCAGAATACGAAATGCGTTATACAGAAAGTAGAATAAATAAGTAACCATATATATATATATATATATATATATATATATATATATATTGCAACTGTATTCGATTCGATCAATCGATCCGTTCGCGATTCGTCTACTCACGATGTTAGTTCGAACGATTAAGAGAGAGAAAGGGCGCGCGGGATTTTGAAAATAGGCAGTTAAGCCTCAGCTGCTTTCGCGAGAGTATCGAATTTAGTTTTGCATTGTGTTTCGCAGTTATTTTGTGATTGAAAGTTTCCTGGATTCTTTGCGGGCGTGGGTGATAGCAGCATCAAAGCAGTAGTATCACAGCAGCAGCGAAAACATCTCAACAGTAGCATCCGAAACAGCATCTAAATCGGCAACGACAAAAGCAGCAGATATTTTTTGAGAGAGGCAGCGCAGCTGATTAAAGGAGCACCGTTGATTCTCATCAACAATTACGGCTGATCACCATAATTGCACCACAGGGTAGGTGTACTTCCTTATTATTGCGCTATAAAATACTTCCGACAGTATTTTGTCTATTGCAAGCGTAATGTGTTGTATTCGCGCCGAGTGTTAGATTTCACGGCAATTTTCGAATTCTCTCTCTCTCTCTCTCTCTCTCTCTCTCTCTCACAGAATTATAATTAATAATTGTGAATCCTATTCGCGTGCGTTAGTATTTCGGCTCATAAAAGGCTGTAGTTTTTTATTAATTAAACTTTGTTAATTTTATACGCCGTTTACGTCATTTCATTTCCTATTAGCCTAATATATCTATAAAGGCTTAAATCTTAATGCGATTTCGTCTAGAGGATTAGTAGAATCAAGCATTAGGTCACTCATACCTAAAATAGATCGAGTGTCACAAGTCAAGTGACTTAAGGTGAGTTCAACTCGGTATGAAGGAAGACACTGAAACGAAAGTATCAAACGTAAAAGCGAATACACGTATAACTATACGTGTTTAACGGAGCGGCGGTTAGCTCTACATCGTGGGAGTTTATGCGTTAATAAATTCCTATTTTACTAGTTATCCACTCCGTTACATGGTGCCCAACTGGTATTAAGACCCATTTATTGCGAATAGGATTGTGCGTCGAAGGCAATCGACGCATAAGAGAAAGAGACGATTGCGCGAGCACTTAGGAAGGTTTGAGCGGGTGGTAGTGCGAGATCGTGGATGGTGCGCCATCTGCAGGGGAAAAAGGGTATCACTCAGACCTTTTTTCTTATAAATTGTTAAATTTATTGTAAAAAGGGCCGAACGCGATAATAATTAGTAGGTCGGGGTAATTTCAAATCGCTGTAAGTATTCAGATGCTAGCCCGTTTAAGCCACAGTTTGGTGGTTAAAGGGGGGCCGGAAGCACCTGAGCGACGATATTAACAGAGAGCGCGACCCAAGCATGCAGTCCAGGATATATTAGCCAGGAGGAGCAAGCAAACAGCAGGCTCCGACCTTAGGTAGGATATTTCTTATACTATTATTAGATAGTTTGCGGAGATTGCACGCGCTCATAATCTCGCGAGTTTGCGCCTTAAAAAGAAGGCATTAAGGGTAGATACATAAATTAGTGTATAAACCGCTTATACCTTGGGTGATAGAAAGCGATAGTGGTCGATTAGGCCGATAATTTTAAACTTCGACCGCATCCTACACCCGTGCAGAGGCAAGATGGCTCTGTTGTCAGCCCAGATCGACAATTGGGCATTAGAGCTTGAGGATAGGAGTACTTGGATGATCTAGAGCTACGCAAGGTTGGAAATGTCATCCAGCAGGCGCCCAGGCTAGGGAGATGGTTGCTGGTAGAGTACACCGTCACAGATTTCAAAGGGATTACGCGCAGTAAAGAGGTGGCGGAGTGTAGGAGGTGCACCCGACAATCGTGGCTCGATACAATCTGTGACGAGTTGGAAAACCTTAGCGCAGAAGAGAACAGTGACCATCCCCTGAGACTCTTCAACAGGAAGGGAATATCCATGACAAGTATGTTAAGGTCATTCACCTGCCTAGATGAGGACTCGGAGGGTGAAGCCAGCCGCCAAGAACAGGATAAGATCATCCAGAAGGTCCTCCACACCCAGGAACAGGAGGAGAGGGAGAGGAGACGGAGCAATCCGGATCTCAGGTCGCTGGAATCCTGCACCCGGAGGGAACCTCAAGAAGAATTATCCTTGAGTGAAGCCTTCCGGGAAATAGAGTACCTGAAGAAGGGAGTCAACCGTAACCGCAAGCTGGTAGGTCGCATCCTAGAAACCCTTCAGACTCTACAGGGCATACAGGTGAGTGCGGAGCGCAAGGCACAGGACATGCGTTAAAGAATACGAGGGTTAAAAGAGGAAATGCATGAAATGACCGATGCAGCCCGTTATTCCCAACGTGACTCGATTCAACCGCGCTCCCGACGTAATGTGGACTTTCAGGATACATTCACCCTTCACTACGATTCTGGGATTCCGGGAAGCACACCGGCTCCTCCAAGAACCGTACCCAGGAGAAAGGACGTCACTCCATCGGGAACCCTCCAAAAAAGGGAGGTAAAGAGGTTACAGAGGAGTACGGGAGATCCGCATCTGTTCGACAGAGGAGTCGAAGTGGATCGTCTGGCACCGGTCCTCAATTATCCTCAGAGCTCTCCATAACCCGTGATGTTGAAAAATTGTCGGCGGTTGGAAATTGAGGTTTGCGAGTAGTAGGGCACGGATCGTGGACACGTTTCTGTCAAGGTTGTAAGACCTGCGCGTGGGCGCAGGGTTAACGGACGATGAAGTACTTTGTTCCGTTTCAGAGATCCACGACGGTAACGCGAGGACCTGGTACGATAAAAATTAGTACCAGTGGCTCAGTTATGCCGAATTCGTCGCCGGCGCCCAAGAATAGTTCGGCACAATAACGCATCAGCAACAAAGGCTGTTACAGGAAGCTCAGAACCGATTCCAGGGCGAAGACGAATTGATGCGAGACTACGTATCCTACCTGGTGGCTCTTGTCAATAGACTGGAACCACAATACCCTTGGAGAGGTTATTAGACCTGCTCCATGCAAACCTCCTTCGAAACATCCAAATTCAGCTACGTCAGAGCGAGTTGACATCGATACGCGAGTATAACAGAATGGCGACCGAAGTACAAAATACCTTATCTTACGGTCGTCGTTCACGCGTATTCGTGGATCCAAAATCGACGACCTTCCCTCAGCACGCCTACCGGCTAAGCAAAAGAATGGCTCGTAGTAAATCCCGAACCCCTGTAGTTAGGAGAGCGGCAAACCCCTCAAAAGTCGCTTAGAAAACGAAGTGACCAGATCAGAACTAATCGCTAATAATA